ACAAAAATTACGCTCTTTCAAAAAAATTTGGAATAGATGATGTTACAGTAGCTGAAACAGCACAGCAGCTTCCAAAGCTGTTGAACATGTGTCCTAGTTATACTTATGTATGGTTTTGTCACATCAGCAAGTATTTAGAAATTAAACACTCTGAAACAATAGAGTTTGACTTTCCAGTGGGTACCTTCTAAGTCCTGTGGTCTTCCCAGTGTATTTCTTCTTTAGAAAACAATTCTTAGAAGACAAACATTCAGTTAAGCCTGTCTACCAGCATACTAGGAACTATATTTTTATAAGTGGGCAACTCATTTACCTACAAAAAAATTGTTTCAGTTGTAGACGTCATGTGCCACTTGGAGCTCGCTCCAGTCTGGCAAGCTTAGTAGTCCAAGTTCTCCACTGAGCAAACATAAAGCTTTACATGGCCTTTTTCCCCCACCTAGACGCAAATTAATCTCGGAAACTTTGCCGAAACTAAAACTCTTGCCTAACACGAAATCAAATTTCATTAACTACTCAGACCCAAGATAGCTACATACCAAGCTGTCTCCGATCTCCCAGAATCAAGCCTTTCTCCCTTCCTGGAATAAACGAGAACATGAATCAGACAGTACTGAGGCACTGATGAAGGCAAGAAATACCACCGAAGGAACTCCAACTCCCACTGCATGTTGTCTATGCCAAATTCTCCAGTACTCCGATTTTTTCTTACACTAAGGCACTCCAGCCCACACAAGTTTGGATAATTAGAAATTAGCTGTATTTATAAACCATAGCCATATTGATGATGTTTGTCAGTAACCAAGCATATACACAATTATAGAAGAATAAAGCCAAGATACCTTTGTCAAGCTCTGGACAAAGCCTTTTATTATATTTGTGCCGCAGTTAAAATTTTTTATATTTGGCAAAAATTACCCTATATTGTTTTGCTCACAAAATATTGACTTTTGTTAGATATTTCTGAAACTCACCTTTGCAACTGAGAGCCTTTCAACGGGAAGTCGGCACCTGCGATTCTGCTGCTTTAACCTCCCCTATGACTTTATTATGTATGAAGAGGTTCTGCCACTGTATAAAGATCCACATCAGAGGAGGTCAAAAGGTGGCTGTAACACAAAAGCAAAGATTAACTCAGGCGAGCACGTAACACTAAAGTATTTTTAAGTCATGTTCTGAAGCTCTATTTGAGCATTCATTTTGGAAGTCTAATTCTTCACTATGTCTTTAACTTGCACACTACTAAGTACAGAACTTTCTGCACTACAGATGAGGTGACCAACAGCCCTTTAGGAGAGGAGCTCGCTGACCAGCAGGAGTGGCCACCACCACCTGCACACACTGAGCTTGCGGGATTCCCAAGAGTTGTGTCTCTCTGGAGGAGACCCCGCTCTGGATCAATCTCCCCTCCGGGGAAGCCCGACCTGCTCTGCTCGGTTCCTCCACGCAGCCACGGCCCGAGGCCCCAGGCCCCCAGACAACTGGTTTCTGAGGGGGCAAGAACCGAGGCCTGAGGGAGACCACTTCAGCAGGCTCTGCCAAAATGAAGGTATAAATATTTCGGAATAAAAAAAAAATATCAATCCCCAACCCCAAG